TTCGTAATCAGCATCACCTGTAGCACCAGCATCACGCCATAACCCAAACCCTTGTTATAAAGATAAGCTAGCACAAAAGATATATTTGTCAGCCAGACAATGATGATCAATGCAGCCAGCATAGCAAAATCAACACGACCATCTGGTGTCAGTGACAGAACAACCTACATGTGCACTAATGGGCACCCGGCACAGTCGCTAGCTATGACATCACTTCAGGAGTGCTGGCACAATCTCTTTCACATAAAAGGTTTCAAGAACCTTCACCAGGTAGTCACCCATGCTCTCCATGTACTTTATCACCAGAACATGGGGCTTCTGCCCCGGCACATACACACAAAATGCACATGACTTTAGCCCACAGACCATCATCTGTCCCTGCACCTGCATCATGTACGGGTGCTCTGCTTTGAGGTGCCCATTCTCATCTAGAAACCCAGCCTCCTGCGGAGACTTGTCCTTCAGGCTAAAGGGGCACTTCACCTCCAGAACCCATGTCCCACAGCATGCACACTCAATGATACCATCTGGGGAGGCAGCCAGGTAGGGGTGGTCAGGGCTGACGAACAGCCCACACTTACGAATTGTCAGCTCACTATGCATAGAGCTCAGAACCCCTTCTACAGCAACACAAGCATCTGCCTCGTGTGTATGTCCCCAGACTACAGCAGGCACTGTAAGCTTACAGGACGCTGGCTCCACGATCTTACGCACCAATGATGCACTCTGTCGTCCCCCCTCGACATGGCTCACCACCTCACCAAACACTGAAGCAGTCACCCTTCCATGCCTCTGGTTAAGCCACTCCTTCGATCCTCCCTGATCCACAGTAGCTCGCTCGACGTTCCCTATCACATCACTCGGGTACATCTTCTTCAGTTTGTTAACCAGCATCTCACAGTACTTCCTCGATGGCTCAGCATCACTAGGAGCTATCTTCTTCAAGATGGAGAACATCTTGTAGATGGGATATGGCAGCTCAGTCCTGCCATCCACAACATCACCACTGACTGGCAGAGAGCTTTGCAGCGCACACCCAGCAGGCAGATCCTGCAGCTCTGTCTGAAATGCAGCATCAGACATGATGAACTCGACGCGGCTTCGCTTGGCAGGAATGCCCATGTCTGCTGCAATGTCAAGGACCTTGCTGGGCTCCACCTTCTTCGTAGCTGTCTGATGATTCCATTGACAGGCCTTGCTTGTTGGTGCATTCTCTGTCAGTCCGTGGAGTACGGCTGCTTGGATCTTGTAGAGCACACCTGCCACATGGCTGCACACTTCTCCAAGTCCTGCCATGCATTGGCAGTGGGCAGACATAACACTGCCATTGGGGTGGCAGAGCACCCATGCATTATACGACTTTGAAGCCGTCTGACTGGCCTGTACCTCTGCCTTCACGAAAACACCACTGGTATCCACTGAGCAGAGCTTGAGTGGGCCAACATGACTAGACAAAAACACATTCCAAGCATCTAGTGACTTGAAAGCTTTCAAGTTGTCGGACGTGAAAGTGCCAGAAGTGGAGACCAGATACGCAAATATATCTGGAAACAGCACGAGTGGGAGCTTCTCGAAACTGTCCGAGATCCAGTAGGCCTCATCGATCTTGTACGGATCAGGAAATACCTTCTCTCCCAGGCAGAGCTTTGCTTTGTATCGTGAGGAGTCGTACATCACGAACAAAAACACAAACTAGAGAAAAAACTATCGAAAACAGCTCTCACAATCCGATAAACCACGAGACGCCAGTGCAAATGGCCGCGATCGCCCGGTTTGTTTTGCCTACCAGTCAGCGTTGCCAGTTACGAAAAATAGTTTGTGACGTCACCGTGGAGGCCTCTATGCGTGCTCAGTGAAAACAACAGCAATAATTATTATTTTTATACACTGGTTATTATGGCAATAGCGATATGCTATATATTAGCGTAATAACAGCGTAATGCAATATTGATTTAGGTCATTTGAAGGGGAGTGTCTAAAAAGCAGACGAGATTAGCAGACGAGCCCATGCTCAGTAACTACTGGACCGATTTTGATAATTCTTTCACCATTCAATAGCAGGGAACTCATATAGGTGCCGTTTATCGTTTTTTGGCGATTGGTTCACTCTGACTGGACCAATCGGACCAAAATGGTCCAGAACCATACACCCCCTTAAAAGCAGACGAGCCCATGCTCCGAAACTACTGAACCGATTTCGATAAAACCTTCACCATTAGATGCGCCGTGGTCTGAAACGGTGCCGTTTTCAATAATATTTTGATTGGTCTACCCTAAGTGGTCCAAATCGGTCCAATACCCCTAAAATCTGTTGCAGACGAGCCCATGCTCCGAAACTACTGGACCGATTACGATGAAACCTTCACCATTAGACGCGCCGTGGTCTGAAACGGTGCCGTTTTTGATAATTTTTTGATTGGTCCACCCTAAGTGGTCCAAATCGGTCCAAAATCGCTCAAATCTGTTGCAGACGAGCCCATGCTCCGAAACTACTGGACCGATTTCGATGAAACCTTCACCATTAGACGCGCCGTGGTCTGAAACGGTGCCGTTTTTGATAATTTTTTGATTGGTCTACCCTAAGTGGTCCAAATCGGTCCAAAACCCCTAAAAACTGTTGCAGACGAGCCCATGCTCCGAAACTACTCGACCGATTTCGATGAAACCTTCACCATTAGACGCGCCGTGGTCTGTACCGGTGCCGTTTTTGATAATTTTTTGATTGGTCCACCCTAAGTGGTCCAAATCGGTCTAAAACCCCTAAAATCTTTTGCAGACGAGCCCATGCTCCGAAACTACTGGACCGATTTCGATGAAACCTTCACCATTAGACGCGCCGTGGTCTGAAACGGTGCCGTTTTTGATAATTTTTTGATTGGTCCACCCTAAGTGGTCCAAATCGGTCCAAAACCGCTAAAATCTGTTGCAGACAAGCCCATGCTCCGAAACTACTGGACCGATTTCGATGAAACCCTCACCATTAGACGTGCCGTGGTCTGAAACGGTGCCGTTTTTTATAATTTTTTGATTGGTCCACCCTAAGTGGTCCAAATCGGTCCAAAAACCCTAAAATCTGTTGCAGACGAGCCCATGCTCCGAAACTACTGGACCGAATTCGATGAAACCTTCACCATTAGACGCGCTGTGGTCTGAAACGGTGCCGTTTTTGATATTTTTTTGATTGGTCCACCCTAAGTGGTCCAAATCGGTCCAAAACCGCTAAGATCTGTTGCAGACGAGCCCATGCTCCGAAACTACTGGGCCGATTTCGATGAAACCTTCACCATTCGACGCAACGTGGTGTAAAACGGTGCCGTTTTCGATAATTTTTTATTGGTTCACCCTAAGTGGTCCAAATCGGTCCAAAACCCCTAAAAACTGTTGCAGACGAGCCCATGCTCCGAAACTACTGGACCGATTTGGATGAAACCTTCACCATTCGACGCGCTGTGGTCTGTACCGGTGCCGCTTTTGGATAATTTTTTGATTGGTCCACCCTAAGTGGTCCAAATCGGTTCAAGTACAGCCCAAAAATACGTTTTCATGCAGTCAACTGATGAGCTGGTTTCCGCAGCGCGGAGGTGCCCCAGGCCCAATTAGCATGCATTTTTGCTCTAGTTTGGGAAGCAAAATGCATGACAATGGGTTTGGGGCACCTCTGTGCTGCAGAAATCTATCCGGACTCTGACAAAGTACAAACGGGTTTTAGGCATTTTGGGCCGATTTGGACCACTTAGGGTGGACCAATCAAAAAATTATCAAAAATGGCACCGTTTCAGACCACGGCGCGTCTAATGGTGAAGGTTTCATCGAAATCGGTCCAGTAGTTTCGGAGCATGGGCTCGTCTGCAACAGATTTTAGCGGTTTTGGACCGATTTGGACCATTTAGGGTGGACCAATCAAAAAATTATCATAAACGGCACCGTTTCAGACCACGGCGCGTCTAATGGTGAAGGTTTCATCGAAATCGGTCCAGTAGTTTCGGAGCATGGGCTCGTCTGCAAAAGATTTTGGGGGTTTTGGACCGATTTGGACCACTTAGGGTGGACCAATAAAAAAAACTATCAAAAACGGCACCGTTTAAGACCACAGCGCGTCTAATGGTGAAGGTTTCATCGAAATCGGTCCAGTAGTTTCGGAGTATGGGCTCGTCTGCAACAGATTTGAGCGGTTTTGGACCGATTTGGACCATTTAGGGTGGACCAATCAAAAAATTATCAAAAACGGCACCGTTTCAGACCACGGCGCGTCTAATGGTGAAGGTTTCATCGAAATCGGTCGAGTAGTTTCGGAGCATGGGCTCGTCTGCAACAGATTTTAGGGGTTTCGGACCGATTTGGACCACTTAGGGTAGACCAATCAAAAAATTATCAAAAACGGCACCGTTTCAGACCACGGCGCGTCTAATGGTGAAGGTTTCATTGAAATCGGTCCAGTAGTTTCGGAGTATGGGCTCGTCTGCAACAGGTTTGAGCGGTTTTGGACCGATTTGGACCACTTAGGGTGGACCAATCAAAAAATTATCAAAAACGGCACCGTTTCAGACCACGGCGCGTCTAATGGTGAAGGTTTCATCGAAATCGGTCCAGTAGTTTCGGAGCATGGGCTCGTCTGCAACAGATTTTAGGGGTTTTGGACCGATTTGGACCACTTAAGGTGGACCAATCAAAAGATTATCAAAAACGGCACCGTTTTAAACCACGGCGCATCTAATGGTGAAGGTTTCATCGAAATCGGTCCAGTAGTTTCGGAGCATGGGCTCGTCTGCTTTTAAGGGGGTGTATGGTTCTGGACCATTTTGGTCCGATTGGTCCAGTCATAGTGAACCAATCGCCAAAAAACGAAAAACGGCACCTATATAAGTTCCCTGCTATTGAATGGTGAAAGAATTATCAAAATCGGTCCAGTAGTTACTGAGCATGGGCTCGTCTGCTAATCTCGTCTGCTTTTTAGACACTCTCATTTGAAGCCGCCCTGATTTGAAGAAGGGACACAGCAAAAATGGCCATGTGCATGAGTATTCAAGAAGTTCACGATCTTTTGGATAATATTTCAACACTTATTGGAGGATTTTTATATGATAAAGCAAAGGAATCACTTGTAAGTATTATTCCTTTTGAGCTCTGTCTTCTTAACCATTCGTTTATCGTTAACCATTGACCCCAGCAATTACCGACCAGTCAGCCTGACGCCAGTGCCCTGCAAGGTGCTGGAAGCCATCATCAGGGACAGGCTGATGGAGCACCTGCAGGCAGAGGGCCTGATTACTGAAGCCCAGCATGAATTCCGGCCGGGCAGGTCCTGCGTAACGCAACTGCTACTTTCAGCAGAGGACTGGAGCCGTGCTGCAGAACGTGGTGACCCCATGGACATCATTTATCTTGACCTGGCCAAGGCCTTCAACACTGTATCAATCCGCAGGCTTCTCCTCAAGGTGGCTGCACATGGAATCCGTGGGAAGCTGCTACGATGGATAGAGGCCTTCCTGACGGGGCGAAAGCAGCGGGTTATGATCGGCAGTTCCTGCTCGGAATGGACCTCAGTCCCAAGTGGAGTCCCGCAAGGATCTGTGTTGGCACCTACATTGTTTGTCCTATATGTTAACGACCTGCCAAATGTCCTAAGCTGCGGTGTCAAGGTCTTTGCCGACGACAGCAAATTGTACCAGGTCGTCTGTGACCATGAGGACGCGCGGGCTCTCCAAGCGAACCTGGACGCTGTGACACAGTGGGGTGAGGATTGGCAACTGCAATTTAACGACACGAAGTGCAGGGTCCTCCACGTCGGTCGTCACGTCCACCGGCACGACTACCTTTTGAACGGTGAAGTCCTGCAGACGGCGACAGAGGAAAAGGACCTAGGAGTGATTGTTGACGCGGAGCTGAAGTTCAGGAGGCAAGCAGCGGCAGCGGTCAACAAGGCATCTCGAGTGATGGCCGTGATAAGACGGTCATTCAGCCTGCTGGACAAGATGACCCTGCCAATCCTGTTCAAGACGCTTGTGCGACCGCTCCTGGAGTACGGTAACATTGTCTGGGGGCCATTCAATCGAGCGGATCAGCTCCTCATCGAACGAGTCCAGCGCCGAGCGACCAAGCTGGTCCAGGAAGTACGTCACCTACCGTACCAGGAAAGACTGAAGTCTATGAAGCTGCCTTCCCTCCACTACCGACGTCGACGCGGCGACATGATCGCTGTCTACAATGTGCTGCATGGGAGACTGGACCTGAATCCGGAGGAGCTCTTCAACCGAGTAACGACCAGAGATACAAGAGGACACTCCTGGCGTCTTGCGAAGCCCCATGCCGTCACCCGCATCCGTCGAAACGCGTTCGCAGTCAGAGTCATTAACCCGCGCCCCACTGGGGTCTGCGTATAACACGCCCTACTGGGGGGGGGGGGGCTATTCATAGCCCCCCCTCCTAACTCCGAAACTACTGGTCCGATCGTCAAAATTCAAACGGCGTCTGATAGCCCCGGAAAAACTGTCGAGCGAAACCTAATTTCATTGACCTCGAGGTCACCGATGACGTCACAGGTCAGGTCAAAGTAAAAATTATTAGCATTTTGGCTTCTTCACGTTTTGGGCTCTGGCCGCCGTCTTACAAGTCAGATCAGGCTCATTTTCGGTTCACACACTCGTGAACAGATGCTCTAGATACTCTGAGGGTACCAAACTTGTACTTTGATTTTCAGGTCAAGGTCAGGTCATCACAGGTCACGAAAATATTATATCATCCGTCGGTCACGTGGCACATGTTTTATGGTCCATTTAGGCCAAACATTTCGAATTTGATGTCGTCCGTGTCATTCGAGGTCATTTTGAGTCAAATTTAGCTGAGGAAAGGTCACTTTCAGGTCAAAAAAGGTCAAATTTTGAAGTTAAAATTTTTCAACAAAAAAGGTGTCTATTGGATGCAGTTTGAGCTCAGGAACACGATGGTGCTATTTATATTGGCGTACGATGTCAAATTCGTGCTGAAAAATTGATTTGAAAAATTAATAATTGTTAATTTTTTGCAATAATGCGTATAACTTGGCCATTTTTGAAGATATTTAGCTAAAACTTGCTAGAGTTAGTCATAATAATGCGTTCTATCATATATATTCCGGTTTTTTCGAAAAGTCAAAAAGTTTTTGAAAAAAATGTAAAAATATAAATTTTGAATTTTATTTTATAAAATTTTCGAATTTTTCAAAATTTCGAAAATCCGAGATAGCAGTTTGATAGCGCAGTCTATTCTGAGTCCTCTCATGCAAAGAAATTGGATCTAGCTTAAAAAATGAGCTCTTGGGAGCGATTGCCGTGGTTCAATGTTTTGCGTCGAAATCGGCCGAACATGACGTCACTCTGACGTCATTTCCGGCCGACCTATGGTAGGTACGAAGTTCAAATTTTGACACAAGGTGTCAAATCGATGCAACCGAAGGTACTGAAAGTTTGGCGTCGATAAGTCAAGCGGTTTGGAAGTTATTGCAGAAAAACGGGAGGGGGGGCTATAAATAGCCCCCCCCCCCAGTGGGGCGCGGGTTAACGACTGGAACAGCCTACCATCATCCGTCGTAGACGCCGACTCTCTAAACTCGTTCAAGAACCGGCTCGACACTCACTGGAGACACCTCCACTTCACCCCGCCCCTACCATACGAACAGTAACACTGTCAAACACGAACTCGACTGGAGCGGACACTACAGGCCTTGGGCCTCTCAAAATTTTCCGTGCATCTTAAGTAAGTAAGTAAGTAAGTAAGTTTATAGATAATCTGTTTATCAATGAATAATAATCAACAATATTGAATTGGAATGTTTTTTATTTCACATAAGTAGTTGCCCGCACTTTGATGTCTGTCTCTGCTTGGTCTCAGCCAACTTAGCCATGGTGGGGGGCCGGGGGGGGAAGAGCCAAGAGGAGGGCAGGGATCATATTTGGCTAGAACTGACAATCTTGTAAACTAAGAGTTAAGACAGCCAGAAAGATGTGGAAAAAGCAATTAATAGCTCCCTTGAGTCATTCATAAATGTACAGGTCATTTTTCGACCTGGCCGTTACTTAGAACACTGGAGGTCATGAAAGTTCAAATTGTCACTAAAGGTTTCTTCATTTTGACATTTTTTATAATGGATTAGTGCATAAATTTGTGAATGATTAGAGCTAGATATTTTCAAAAGTGCATTTGATTGTTCTTTCAAAGCTCTTTCTGTGATATTTATTGGGAGTAGATCTGAGGTCAAATAATGTTTGGCTCATGGAGGGCAAAACACATTGAAATAAACTGATTATGCATCACCAATATTTCATACAAACTTACAGAAACTGGCATCAATAATTGTATGACATTTATTTTGCTCACATCATGCTCCTCTTGTCCTGACACATCAAATGAATTGTAAGTTGACCTTTTCAGGTCAGCCTCAAATTTGACCCTTGGTCATAAGTCATATGGTCATTTGGCCAAATCATATGATCATATAATTGGATAATGGGAACCCAACCAGGTGAGTTGACCAGGTGAGGTCAAGTTCATGGCTTGACCAGAAGGGTTGCACAACCATCGATCCATATTCATTCCCTGAACACCCTCCACATTTGGGTGATTTCATTGCCTTACAATGTTTCCATCAAGTTATTCTCATTCTCCTTTCAGGAACGGGAAAGGGAGGCTACAAAGCTGAGTCCTGTGACATCTTGGAATGTGCTGGTCAACGGTCTAATACAGTTGTCTCTTGCTGAAAAATCGTATATGAGCTTGATGTTCCTGGCACACAAGAGTTTTCTTCGAAAAGATGTACGTATGCTTTGTTGTTAAATGTGGGTTGTATCGCTTGGGCTACTTTATTACGTAGACATTGCTCACAAAATATTGCTTTTTTGAAAAAGGTGTTTGTCCGATAAACAAGAATGCAATAAATAGCCTATCCTTTGCTGCTCCCAAAGCCCAGTCAGTCCCACACTGAGTTAATTGCTAGGTGGGGAGTTTACCACCGCGGGGTCGGTACCACCGACTTCAGTGGTCGGTTATACTCTTTCAGGCCGTTGGTACTTAGTACATTCATTTTATACTCATTAAGTGCAATTTTGAGACTCACTAAATACCTGTATATTACTCTTTTATAAGATTACTGACTTGCCAATCTGGTTGCTAATTTCTGCAACTTGTTATCGTCATATTGGTCTCATACTATACCTACTGTTCACGAAACCTACCTACAGTGGCGGCGGAAGGTAATTTTGGATGGGGGTGCAAAGTTTTCTCAAGGGGCCCCTCTGGAAGTTTTGGGCCCCCCTCATTTTTTTTTTTGAGTGATAATTATTGATTTATGAAAAACAAAGATTTTGGAAAACTATCCCCATACACACAAGTTCTGTAAAAGGTTTGAAATTGCAATTTGCAGTGTACATACCTATCTCAAATAATGAAAGCATAAAGAAGCAAATGCAGCTAGTTTTTTATCGGCCAATCTGATAGTCTAGCCACCACCTGCAGCGTCTCAAACCACTTTGCTGGATCCGCAGTGGACCATTGAGGGCCCTACGAGACCGTTCTAAGAAGACCGTGTTTAGAAACCCCTTGGAAACCGACCACATAGAGACTCCTCCAGAGACCTACATGACTCCCCAGACTGAATGAGCCCTCTGATCAGGGTCGGTCCCTTGAAAGTTGCTGAAAGGTTTCAGAAGGCAGTATAGGCTCGAAAGTCTTTTGAGGGCTCTCAGAAGCCGGCATCGGACCCCAAAAAAGCCTGTATGGAGGCCCTCCAAAGCCGGGATGGAGGCCACAGGAGCCGATGTTAATCCTGAAGAGCCGGTATGGAGGACTGAATAGAGGAAAGGGGTCTCCGTGGGGCCTTCAGGGGCAAGCGTTTGAGCCCAAAAAGCATGTGTGGGGTCTTAGAGGCAGGTAGATCCCTGGGGTATGCACGGGGTCCCAGGAGCTAGCGTGCAAGCCCAAATATTCGGCTGGCGGCTACCAGAACCACCATGGGGATTCTTAGAAGCCGCTTAGATCCACATTTCATTGGTCACGAGTCCCAAGAGTCGATGTAGGAACCATAAGAGCCGTGTAGGGTCCATGGCCCTACACCGACATTGAGACTCTCAGAGGCCGGCGACGGGGCACCAAGAGCAGATAAAGTGCCTCAACAAGCCGACATGGGGCCTGAGAATCAGTGTGGAATTCCAAGAGCCTGCGTGAGCTCTCGGAGACCTTCGTATTTCGTAAGGTCCACAAAGGTCGTTGGGTCCTCTGAATCTGAACTCTGCGGGGCCCTCAGAGGTCAGCATGTCTCCTGGCACCTGCCTGCGTTGAGTTGAGACCCTCTGAGGCTGTCGTAGGGTTCTTCAGAGGCCAGCGTTGGCCCTTGAAGCCTTCGTTAGGCCCTAGAAGCCGTCAAGAGGGCCCTCAGAGGTCAGCATGGCCCCTGGAGCCTGCCTGCGTCGAGGCCCTCAGAGGCCGTCGTGGGGCCCTCAGACGCCAGCGTGGGCCTTTGGAGCTTGCGTTGGGTCTTAGAGACCATCCTGAGGGCCCCGAGAGGTCGTCGCCAGGGCCCTCAGCCCCTCAGGGACCGTCCTGGGGTCCTCAGAACCGTCCTGGGGTCCTTGTGAGGCCCTTAGAAGCCTTCGGGAGGATCATCAGAGGTCGTCATGAGGGTCCTTGGCCATAGTGAGGGTCTTCGTGGGCCCTCAGATACCTTAGCAGGGCTCTCAAAGGCCTTGGTAAGACCGCTAGAGGCCATCGTTAGGGCCCTCAATAGACCGTTGCAGGGCCCTCAGATGCCGGCATAGCCCCTGCAGCCTGGTTGTGTTGGGGTCCTCAGAGGCCGTTGCTGGGCCGTCTGAAGCCAAATGGGCCCTCAGACTTGAGTTGGGTCTAGGGCCGTCACGAGGGCCCTCAGAGACCGTCGTAGATGCCCTCAGAGGCCAGCGGGCCCCTGGAGTCCTGTGGGACCCTCAGCGGTCGTCATGACTCATGAGCGCCCTTAGTGGCCGTTATAGGGCCCCAGGGGACAGAGGTCGTCGTGAAAGCCCTCAGAGATCATCGTAATGGCCTTCAGAGGCCGCCATAGGGGCCCTCAGAGGCCAGCGTGGCCCCTGGAGTCTCCTTGGGGCTCTGGAGTCTCTGTGGGACCCTCAGCGGTCGCCATAAGCGCCCCAGGGGACAGAGGTCGTCGTGGGAGCCCTCAGAAATCGTCATAAAAGGGCCCTGAGGCCGTCGTGGGGGCCCTCAGATGCCGCATGGGGACACCAAACGCGCCGCTCGGGACACTTCTACCCGGTGTGGGGGCCCCAAAGACTAGCATGGGGCGCTCCTGACCATAATTGGACATCCCGGATGATTCCACATCAGTGTTCGTTTCCCGAATCCCGATCACTGGTTTTCAGGAGAAAATGTACTGGATGGTGCGACGGGCCCCTTGTACGAATTTTGGAGGTGCAAAAAGATATGTTTGCACCCCCATGTTTTTCGATGGGGGTGCAGCTGCACCCCCTGCACCCCCTATTCCGCCGCCACTGCCTACCTATTGCAACGTGTGGACCGCCTACAGAGCTCTGCGCGTGTGTGTTACGAGGCGCTCTCGCTCGAGTACCAGCGGGTGGCGGATGGCCTGACTGACACCACACTGGACCTCTGCCTGCTGCGCGCCTACCGGCAGCTGCTGCACTTTGTGCGCGGCCGACTCACGCTGCTCGAGTTGTATCCTTTTGGAGCTGTTCGATGGGTATCTATTTCTAGGTATTAGTTTTGTTTTGTTTTTTGCTGATTTGTCTGGCACAACGTTGTCTCACGCGCTCCGTCGTCAGTATTGGACTTTATATTCGTGAGTAATGACTAATAAGGTTTAGCGCTCAAATGCTCGCTTTCGGATTGTTTGTCTACGATGCGATCGTTTCCGGATGACGTTTGCATAGGGACCCTGCTGCAAACGGACGGGCAAGCAAACGGTGTGCGCATTCTCTCGCTGTGTAACAATGCAATGCTATCATTCTGAGGTTTCCTTTTAGTTTCCATAACCGCACGTCAGCTATGAGAAGCTGTGGCTGGTCGGTTCGGGCAAGATACGTGGTGTTTCGGAGCTTACTGAACAGCTGGAGAACTTCGCCAGCGACCAGGAGGCCAACTTTGACCACCCGCACCTGGCGGCCCTCAAGGCTGTGGTCCGGTGAGAACCAGTCTGTCACTGGCCGGACGTGCCATCAGGACGATGGGTTGCTTGTGTCCGGACGTGTGACAAGGTACGAGTCGCTGATGCTCGGACCTCTGGCCGGGTACGAGTCGCCAATGTTTGAGCTCGTGGTCAGGTGCCTTTACACGATTGGTTACTGATGTGGGTGCGTGCGGTCAGGTACGAGGTGCGAACGCTGCTATCGATGCTGCGGACCCAGGAGCAGCTGGAGACGTGGCAATTTCTGCCGGCGCTAATGAGTCTGAACGAGGCGCACACCCACCTGAACAAGTTCTCTGCGTGCGTCCAGTCGCGTGAGGTGAGTCCGACCCTCTCCCTGGCCCCTGCAGATATAAAAAAAAAACGCTTAACAGCAATTTTCGTCTTTAATGCCTGCGATACTCGGACGTGTCGCTGTTAGTGACTGCACCTTTCCCGTATGTTTGTTGGTAACCCGTTTTCCAAACGCCGCAGCACCCCGGTGTGTGACTACCGCGTCCTCGTTTTCCAGACGCGGCGCCTGCTGTTCCGGCGCGCCAGCCAGGAGCCGGAGCTGATCCAGTGGCTGCAGCGACTGCGCGCCGCACTCGTCGCCACCTTCTCACTCTATTTCCGCGAGGTGCTCAGCGCCCAGAGCTCGGGCTCAGAGTTCAAGGCTCTGTGCGCCAAGACGGCCGCCGACCACTTTGCCAGGTGGGTGTCGACCGGTGCTGTGGCTGTGGGTGTCCGCTGTGCGTGCCCAGGATTCAGTGAGGGGATTCAGCCCTCACCCATCGGTCGCCGACCGGCCAGCTGACGCCTGACGACCCGTCCGCAGGCTGCAGAGCTTCCAGCGCAAGATGGACGCCGCGCTGGTGGCGCTGGCGTTTGACGGCACTGAGGAGGCGGTACGGGGCGGGCTCGGCTACAGACACCCGGAGCAGCGCGTGCCGCCGGCAGGACAGCACCCCAAACCGTACCCGGCCGTGCTCTGCTGCTCGGTGAGACTCCCCTCGCCGCAGCGACGCTCCCGCGGACAGATAATGAAATAGAGGCTGAGCTTATTTTGTGTACTGTGCATTGCAAGCCTCAGAATATCGCCCTGGCCCCTGACATGAGAAAGGAATGCTTTTTACCGCTAAGTCTGGATGAGGGAAGATAATGCAGGTAGTGCTTATCGGATCAAGTTCAACTTTGTCTTTACTTTGAAAACCCGATTCCTGCAGCGTTAGGACCCACTTCGGTCCGGACTGAATGCGCGTTGCCATAGCCGTCTGCGCGTCATCGAGTGATCGCTGCTCTGACCGCCACCCCCCACTGTCCGCAGAAGAGTGACGTGCAGGCGGCGCTCTGGCCCGAGGTGGTGGCCGCCCTCGCCGAGCCGAAGCTCGAGCTGTCCTCCAGCCGCGTCAGCCACGCGTGGCTGGGCCCGAGCGCCGCGCAGTCGGCCTTCTTCCTGGCCATCAGCGACTGCCTCACCCTGGTCGTGGTGTTCGACGGCCGCCGGTCGGAGAAGGACAGCTACGTCACATCCTTTATGCTGGAGACCGCGGCAGCGCTCCGCTGCAGCAAGATCTACCACAGCCTCAGACCCGGCGCCAAGTGAGCCGCGCGGCCCAGTGAGGGCGCTGTATGAGTGATATGTGGGTCCCGTGACCAGTAATGGCGGTCCGTGAGCCGCGTCGCTGACTGACGGTGGTCAGCGAGTCTATTGGGCGAACCGTGTCTTTGGTAGGGTCGCCCACCAGGCTGTGATATTCCTCGGCAATGGGAGTGAAGCACGCATTTGCGTTTGACCTGGTTGAATCGTCGCGATTGGCCGTAGCGTTAACGGGAAAGTGTACTCGTCGTAAGGATGGTCTAGCCGCACGTGTTTTAAGATAGTGCGCGGTTCGATGCGATATCATACCGTCAGTCGAGCATGTTTCAGCTCAGGAGACCCGGCGCTGATATGGATCTCGCAGTGACGCCATAGTTTTACTATTACGTTTAGCGGTATTTATCGGGAAAATACTTGTACGCTGATTATATTTGGTTTCGACTTTCGAGGGTACATCGCGATGCGTCCACGCATGATATCAATCGCAGTCAAATAAATATGCAAAGAGCTATGAGGGCGTTTGAATGGTTTTGCGAAGGCGGCAGGTTCTTCCCCTCCCCTCCCACGCCACGCAGACGTCCTGATACTGAGGCTAGTTTTACCAACAGAAAAATAGCCGCCTGCCGGAATTTTTTGTCTAAAGACCGCTTCACATACGGAGCGTAAACGGTAAAGCCCTTTCCCTTTACATGTCCATCGCGCTTACGCTCCGTATGTGGAGCTGTATGGCAAAAAAAAAAAATCCGGCAGGCGGCTATTTTTCTGTTGATAAAACTGGCCTCTGATCTTGGGCTAGTGAAACCATTATCCGTTGTCATGTTCCAAAATGGGATCACCACGTCGCGTGCGTTCAGCGCAGACCACACCACCACTCAGTTAGCCCGCGGACGCCCGGGGGAGGCTCGGGGGAGTCGCAGCTCGCAGCACACCTGTTCTAAGTGCTTGCGTAGGGAATGGGTGGCGTGGGATGCCCTATCTCCCTCAAGGTCTGTTATTGTGTAATTACTTGTCAGCGTACGAGTTACAAATACCAATGCTTTACAGATACCGATATGGTTTATTACGATAAACAATGCCAAACGGTTACACCCTTACCCCGACGGTATGCATCCATTTATCACATAACAGCCGTCCTCCAGTCTCAGGGGCGAGGCTGGCCAGGTGAATCAGACCGTGTACAATGAAACCGACCACACAACATAATACAATGACTAAATGTAATACTGAGAAACGCGACGACCGCACCAAACATGTGGAATGTCGACAGATTTTCAACAACATTACTTAGCCATGCATGTCACCCGATATATAGATGATATAACGATATGGATCATAGACCACTATATATCTGGACTGTGCACGGATTTTGCCGACTGCTATTAGGGCCCTGCTGGGAAATTCGACGTAGCACGCGGAATTGTGTATTGACGCTCTAGTAAGTAGTAAGCCCATTTAAATGAAAGTAACTTCTTAAATGTGATGTATATTTTAATAAATGTATAATTTATAGCATGATTCTTAACACGATAAATAAATAAAAGCACTTATAGACAGGTATATCACACTGTATTAAGTTCAAAGCATCAATAGACAGGAACAATCCGTGATCGGTCGTTTTTGACAAGAGACAGTCTGACGACATATTGGACACACTGCAGATTAATTTGCCTGTCTAAATCAGACACGCACCCGGCTCAATGCTTTGAAAGCCCACACTATCTGCGCCACGGAATTACGAAGATTCCTATGGGTAAATAACAAAGCTGCCGGTGCTGCGTTTTTAGCGAGACCGTCCGAGGTGACCTGCTGGGCCACAACTGTTCCCTGCTTCCACTGAGGCCGATTTCATGCTCAGCATAGGGACAGACGGGTTCTGTCATCTGTCCCTCTCGAGAGAAGGGGACTTTTGAACAGCGTTGTCAGTGACGGTGGCCGCATTTTGCAGCGGGTGATGGCGATCGAGATTCGAGATTTAGACGGAGTCACGAGATCTCGGTTCACTGGACACTGCAGCAGAGCTTCGCACTTAGGAATGCACTTTCTTATAGTTCTTGTGCTACATTTGCCTTTAGTTACTATTCGAATTGTAAATCCACATCTGAAATTCTCAGCCATGTAGGTATCTTACACATCGACGAATAGGATCGTAGTTATTGATTGCATAGACAAACTGATCCCAGGAATGTTGCATTGTGTTTACGTCCTGCGGCTCAACCTTTCTCATTTTCATGAAGCTTTCTTATTTCATGAAGCTCTGTTCGCGCATCGCTGGTGTTGAGTGACGGTATACTGTCCATATTGACTCCATGAATTGCAATGTTTGTTTTTCGCTCAACTATACACATCAATGTGTTGAAGGAATGCAGGTCGTAGCGTTGTAACTTGAGGTGCTTCTCGACAGTGTGACTCCCTCAGCGAGCAATGTGAAGAAAGTTATCGTTTTCCTTTACAATGGTAGTCGCGCTGTCTTGAAACACACGTTTGAAGCTATACGTGTGCCGAAGAGAGAGCGACTCGGCAGCTGTTACCAGAGCAGGACCCATTGCTTGCATGCAGGAGCGGAACACAGATTGCTGATGTGGGCACGCCAGCTCTCCGCAAGCCATAACATATGTGACCATCACTTGACCAAATTGCAAGACTTTAGCTAGTTTTGGGCTTCACTTGTGACTGATATTATAGGAGCCGCCAGTCTGGAAACGGATCCGCCACCTCTCCTTACAGTTGTCTTCTGCTCAATTTTTCGGTCTCGGCCAGCGTCACAGCATGTAATAAAACTCACAGGGAGCCCAGTGGTCAGAATTCCAAGACATTTTCAGCTTTAGGGCACATAGAAATTGACTTCATATTGATGCCTTAGCCAGGAACCGGAAAACTGACATTGTTGCATGCACTGTCTTGGCTCTTTGAATATGCTCACTCCCTGTTCTGTTCATAGGATATTCTGAAGTGATTATCACTAGCGGCACATTTTACTGTATTTCAGTGGCATGTATGCATTAAAAGGTTTCATTTTATTTAAAGACAAAAGAGAACTATCCCGCATGTCAATGATAAACAACAAACAACAATAATCTTGCAAAAATCTTCGCTACATGTCTGTGAAAATTTGCTAATTCTCGTGAAAATTAGCTGGGAACCATCATCCACACCATGTTAAATCATGGAAGAAATGGGCAGAAAATGCCCTTCTTTTTTCGATGATTGCGCTAATATTATATATTTTTTGCTCAATGTAAGATATAACTCAGATTACAAAGTGACTAGTGGTGATGTTTCCCAAAGCACATCATCATATGACGAATAAGTTGGCTGTGACGACCTTCGAAAGTTAGGGCCCTAATGGCAGGGCCCTAATTTCCGTGCACAGTCCAGATATATAGTGGTCTATGTATGGATACATAAACGTACTGATACTGCAAGGGTTAACAGCTCAAAACGTAGCACCATTACATGCCAATTGACAGCAAATAAACAACTAGACGGCTCGCCATGAGAACACAACATTTTCCTAGATACAATGCAAACATGAAACACAAGGCCAAACAGATGCTTTACGAAAATGCACCCAAACTCAAAACTAATGAAGAGAGCGTTATACAAAACCCAGCCATTGGATCATGCAGTATAGTTGGTCACCCTTCCCTCATCCCCAACGTGAATACAAGCCTAATGGTAACCATAACATGATGCACATCAGCAATGAACGATAACGATAAGCTTCTGATATCACAGCGGGCGCCGGGCTGCTGGCAACTGCGCTCACTACACCTCAAGCGTTCAATCACAGCTCACGCAAAGGACAGCTTAGGCACACATACAGCGTTGTCCGGTTCGGTACAGCATACCATTGCCAGCATTACAACATTGCCATGCCTGACAGTCCTCTCGGACGATCTCGGCACGAAATCTGGGATCTAGAACGCTGCTGATGGAGGGAAGGTCTCGCCTCGCCGCGCCTCAGACGACTGCAGCGCTCATTGGCAGCAAGACGGAGCGGAACACGCCGTCTCGTCGGGGAGAACGGCCATCCCACAGCGCCAGCGGCCACTCTTCAGTGCGCCCCTCCAACTAATCCCATGGGGAAGCTCAGCCGCGCAGGCCCATCAGAGAAAGCCGAGACCTTGTGCGAACCCCAGCCATCGGTCGGGAACGTCGGTAAAGTACTTGTTCATCATGACGGCGAATCGCGTCTTGTATCGCACCGGATCCAGAACGGTGGGGCGGTTGTTCCCATCGCCCAGCAGGATGTTGTACGACTTGATGTACGTCTCCACCGCCTTGTCGTAGGTGTAGGAGCGCAGATAGTCGATGATCCCGACGACCAGACAGCGCTGCGTCTCGTCCATACCGACCAGCAGCGAGTAGTCCATCACCTGGCACGTCTGCAGAAAGGAGGTGTCGCGCGAGATGGCCTCCATCAGCACACGCTTGGCGTGCGGCCGCACGTAAAGCGGGTTCTCGCTGAGCAGTGTCACCATGTTCTGGTCGAGCAGCACCACTTCGGATTTGTCCTTGGTGTCGGCCAGGCGGTTTCGCATAGAGCCCTTCAGGTCGAACTTCTGCGAGATCTGCCGGCCATACAGAAGGTTCTCCATCACGACCATGTAACACTTCTTCGCCTGACCAGTGACGTTGTTCTTGTAACCCACCAGGAACACGCCCAGGATTTTGGCGAGCACAGAGGGTCGTCCGGTCGTCAGGCTGTCCAAGATGTATTCCACGTAGCGGATGCCAAAGCGCACAAAGTGATCCTTTTCGACTTTGGAGATGGTCTTAATGACGAAGCGATCATCACAAGACTTGTGGAACGTAGATCCCGACTTCCCTCCCTTGGCGTTCCACGGCTGACAGTGCATGAGGCAGCGGACGAAGCGTTCCTCGCCGGCCGAGAACACAGCTTGGCGCAGTCGGCGGAAATGCTCGGCGAGCAGCACCTGACAGTAGAAGTTGGCGTTGTCCTCGGACATGTTGATGTCGATGTGGTACTGGGCCAGATACTTTTCACCGCGCTCGCCGCGTTCAGCAGCGCCGCCAGTACCGTCACTGTTGGCGGTCGACGACTCGGAGATGCGGCCGCTGCGCTCCGGGCCCGGCTCCTCGGCGCTGTCGGCGGGTCGCTCCAGCTGCTGCCGGATCTCGGCCAGTCGCCGGCTGTACTCCTGAGTCAGCATGCAGTAGGCGATGATCGAGCCCAAGTCTTCGCCGCAGATGAAGGACGGCGGCACGGTTGGCGGCAGCCGATGGTGCTCATTGACTGGGAGCGAAGAGGTCAGCCGCTCTCCCAGCTCCCCACTGGACCATGCCAGCGACTTGAGCGCCTTGATGCCGCCGACAGTGATGGACTTGACTTTGCTGACTGACGATAGATCAGCCGCGTCCTCGGTCGCCGGCTCGGGATCGGCGCCCTCCTTCTGCTTCGAATCGTAGCTGGACTTTTGGTCGTTGGAGCTCTTCCGACTGGAAGTGCTGGTCTCTAACACTTTCCCATCGTTAGAGTGTTTCTTCGGAGGCTTTTCTGCCTCCGCTGTCACTTCTTCCGCCTTCGGTCGCGGAATAGCTTTGACTGCTTTAGCCAACTCTTGCAGCCGTGTATTCCACTTGTGCGCTGTGTCGGCCATCATCCGTTTGGCCTGCACGGCCCGGTCGGAGGCGGCGAACACACGGTCCTCGTCCAGACGACACGCGCCGTCAGTGGCCTCCCCCACCAGAGGCGCCACCATTGTCTCGATGTCGGTCAGCAGCGTGCGGAACGCCCGCTTCTCGTCGTCCACCTCTTCCTGGGCGGTCCGCAACGCCTCAGTCACTTTGGCGTCGCTGGCAGCCGCCGCACGCAAAGACAGCAAGCGCTCCACGATCGAACTGAAGAGCTGCACACCCTCGGAGAGTGCATGCAGGTCCTCGGTCAGACGGAGCTGGGTTCGCGGTCCCAGCTCAACGGTGATGTCCAGCTGCGGCAGCACGATGTCGTTCAGCTGTATCTGAGAGTGACTGAAGACGGCGACACGGTCCTGCAGTGCGAAGTAGTGCGCGCGATCCCGGAATAGGCTGTGCGAGCAGCCGTCCAACGACGAGTACTGTTCACACAGGAAGAACGTCTCCAGGAACTTGCCGAACGATAACGTCCACGTGTCTTCGGTCATGGGCCTGGCAGCCGAGCCGCGCTCACACTGTCGGCACCACGTCCACATCCAGATGCGCTTGTCGGGACACGGCTCGAGCAGGGTCCACACGAGCAGTGACACACAGCTGTTGTCATGGAGAAAGCGGTGCACATGTCCCTCCTGCGGCACCACACAGTCTTTCTTCAGGCATTTGAAGGCTGGTGTGAAACATTCGGCCTCGAGGAAGGTACCCAGCGTGGTGTCACTGTCGCCATTGAACATGACCATCATGACATGCGGGTCACAGCAGCCAACCGACACGCCGCTCGGCAGCTTCGAGTAGGTGTACGTCTGCACGGCGATCTTCTGGTGGTTGATGGGATTGAGCGCGTCACAGGGAACCACCCAGTCCTCTAGCCGGTCCTGGACAGGTTCCACCTGATTGGGCTCGACTGGCTCTACCCGCGGGCACCGGCCGCCGCGCGCTCTGAAGTCGGCCAGCAGCGCCTGCATTTGATCGTCGTCGACCGTGCGGGTGAAGCAGCGCGTCACAAACTCGTGCTCAGGCAGCAACGTCGGACCTGGCCGAGTTTCGATCGGGGCCTTGCGGATGTGTGCGCGACGTGCCTTCTCGGCTTTGTCAAATTCAACCGACCAGTAGAGATTCGCTGTGAAGAAGCGGCGCAGACTACTCCGCTTCCCCTCCTCCGTTTCCAGGTACGGCATGGCCACCCTTGCATACGGCGTACAGCACACGATCGTGTCGCCCAACAACTTTCGGAACTTGTTGCGATCGGGCAGGATCTCAACCTTGAGCCCCGGCGTGCTGGTGTCCGGTACCGGCGCTGGCGCCGGACGCTGCAGCGGGTCACTGCAGTCGGTCACCATCTCGCCCGGTCGTCGCGGAGAGCGGAGTCGCTCGTCTCCTGTCGCCGGGGCCACCGTCGCCACATCGGGCGGCGCGGTAGAGGCGCGCGGCCGGGAGCTAGCCCCGTTCGTTTTGGAGACACTCCCGGCACGGGTCTTGTCCCTCGAGTCCTCTGGTGCCTCATCTTGAGCAAGCAGAACTTGGTTTCCGAATGGCGGTGGCACAGATACCAAGTCACGCAGGTAACTCTTCTGCAGGAGCCAGTTGTACTGCACTGATACCATGAAGCGCAGCACGTGCTTCACACGTCTCAGCTGGTTCATGTGACCACCACGCACCAGCACCGTACAACCCAGGTGACTTGCACAGCCGTCAAAGAACATGAAGGTCTTCTTGCTGCCACCCTCCATGGTGAACTGTTTAGTGTAGAATGAGTGGCAGATGCCCAGCACGGGCGCCGCCAGGCGGGCATCCACGTGGTCCATCACGTCTGCCTGGGTGCAGCGCGCGATCCGCGCCAGCACCTGTCTTTTCATGTTGGTGACGAGTGTGACACCGGCCTCGCGCAGCATGTCGCGCGCCATGCTGTCGACGTGCTTCTCGACGACGATCAGGTCGGGCGCTAGTGACAACAGCTGCGCAGTGATGTTGCGCAGCACCTCCCGCTCCTGCATCATCATCGGCTCCAAGGAGACAGCTCGATCCTGGTAACGCTGGTAAGACACTGGACAGCTGATGAGCAGGATCTGCGGATTCGTCAGTTGGGATGGCATGTCGTTATGCACAATGTTCTTCCGACAGACGACGCCCTGTACGATCTGTGATTCAGCAGGCTTGCCGCCAGGAATGCGCTTTATTTTGACAAACTGACGAACGTCGAGGTCATCGCACTCATGGCGAACATCGGGTTTCACAAGCCGGCTCAACTGGCGGGACAAATCAAGTATCGGCTCATACCACTTGGCAGGCAGGCCGGCCGAATCAAGCAGCTGACTCAGCAGACTCGACTCGAGAGCCTCGAAAGCGGCAGAGAGTCGTTTGTCGGCCTGCTGGCGCCGTGGGTCAGCCTCGGTCGCTGCCGAGTCCAGATACTCAGTGGCCGCCTCGTGAAGACCCTGCGCGGCGGCGGCGGGCTCCGGCGGTGTCATCTGGCGGAGCAGCTGCGCCCGCGAGATGGACGCCACGCTGCCCGACACATCTAGCTCGATGTCGTACATGGAGCCAGAGTGGGCCAGCGGCGCGCCGGCCGGCTCGTCGGTGGCTGCACCACCGCCGTGGCTCTCCTTGAGCTCGATCTGGGAGAGCCAGTGGGGCTCCTCCAGGTCGGGCTCCTCAGGCTCCGAAAGTGCCGGACGCCGCATGGCTACCGGCGAGGGCCGATACAGGCAGTAGTCGTCTCGGAAAGCAGTCGTGTTGTGACTGACACATTCGAGCAGTTTCATGTCAACCAGACGCTGTCCGATGGCCACGGACTGAGCACGCCTCGTCACCTTCCGCTGCGAGATCATCCAGTCCACCACTTCGGAGCCCACCAGACAGGCGCCGTAGTTTTTCAGCCGGTGCCGGTGGTTGCCAAGCCCGACGCCGTGGATAGGGTTTGTAATCATGTGCAGCAAGGTGGTCAAGTAGGTCAGATCCTGCTCCTGCTCCAGAGGGTCAGAGACGCTCTCGTGCGGATCAACCTGGTCACGGAGACTGGCATCCGTCATGCCGAGACTGTACTTTTTCCTGTGCATCTTGCTGAGCCGCGGAAGAGAGCTGGATCTGTCGCTGCTCAGTTGGTTCGCTGCTTCCAAGTGCGCGTGTACCTTCTCCAGCACCGCATTCTGGTCCACATGCTCGTCGGCGTCTGCGCCGGACGTGATGGTCTGGACGTAGGTCATCACCACCTTGGAGCAGTAGGTGCAGACGCGCAGGTCACCGCTATAGCCGAGCACCTTGCCCGGGATCACCTGGTTACAGCAGCGGGAGCAGAAAATCTGTCCGCAGATGCGGCAGTGGTGGCGGCGTCTGAACGTGGTGAACTTGTCGCCGCAGTCGTAGCACTCGCGGCTGACGGCGTCCGGCAGCCAGTGCTGCTTCAGTTCGCTGTCGCCCGGCCCGCCCTGGCCGCCGGCTCCCAGGATCGAGCTGATGCGGCGCAGCACGCCCACGTAGCTGCGGCCCTCGGTCGAGTCGGTCGCGGACGAGGGCGGCGAGCCACGGCACAAGCTGGTGTCGCTGGCGCGTCGGTGGGAGCGCGGTTCAGAGACGTCGGCGCCGGAGCGCACCGAGACGCGGCTCGAGAAGAGTCGCAACAGACCGCCTCTGCGCGGCACGGCCGCGTCCAGTGATGGCAGACTGGCAGATGTGGTCGAATAGTCGTCATCGGGCCACACTGCAAAGAAAAAGAAATATGAAGAAATTCAGAGGAGATGGATACACATTGTGCATGTAGATATGCTTGGTTAGGTTAGGTTAGACTAGGTTTACCAGCAAGCATGATATCATGAAGGAGATGTAGGAGTGGATGTTTTTGGTGCATCTAGTCATGTAAGTAACAATTTTCTGGCATATATGTATGTTTATCTTAAGGACAAGCAAATTTGATTGGTACCTAGTGGATTATTAATTCTTAACCATGTGAGTCAGGTTCAGGCACAGTCAAGAGTAGATTCAATATTGAAATCTTGAAAAAAGACAGATTCTGCTTTTCATGAAGAGTCTGGTTTTCCTGGATATCACCTAAATCAATTATATATGAGCTTTGAACTTCAATCTGCCAATGCCATCAATGCTTCCAGAATCCATTGCTAGAATTTAGAAAAGCTTGGGTTGTTTTGTCATAGCATGATGTCAGAATAGTATGACATGATCAACATGTCAAGGAATTCAAAACTTGTTTGTAAGGTTATGAAAATAGAAGCTCACTAGGGTGACCCGCGTGCTCCGCAACGCGAAAAGGGATATTTTCGATCGGCGGGTGTTCGGTTGTTCTTGTGTCGGTTGGGTTATCTATCCATTTCGGTCGATTGCTTTTTGACGGCTAAACGTTTTGGTTTGTGGAAAAAATATCCACCGCATCGAGGTGCCCGTGTCTGATAAGCATGCTTTCCACTTCAGAATCTGTCAAATGTGCTATATAATTGAGGTGCGTAGTTTTAAGACAAATGAAAGGCGTAGATAATTTTCGCTAAAAATCGTTTTGCAGAGGTTTAAAACATTTATATTTTAAAGAATACTGTTGCTTGTCATGCAAACGTGATGATTGGATCTTGGAGAGAATTGAATGCTCTTTCTAATGATAGCATTTTCAATTGTCAAGCGTATCAGGTTAAGCAGCAAATCCCGTGTATCTTTTTAGTGGCACATTATGGACAAATACCATTTTAATTCAGCGATTTTTTCCACATTGTTTTTGATCAATTAGCTTTTCACAATTTTTCCATGAGAGACGGTACATTTTTATTGCTAATAGGCGCTGTTTCAACTCATTCCGTCTGACGATCACCTGAAATTAATATAAATTCCAAAATCCGTTTAAAATGGCACTTTTTGAAATGAAATTGCCCTCACACTTGCACGTGGCGCGTGCCACCCCTGCACCGCACACTATTCGATTGCCCGTTCGATTCTCTACACGATGCTGTTTTCCCCGTGCCGATCGGGCGCACGGCTACCGAGATATTGCACGGGGAACGGACCCGTGTCGGGCAAATTTAGCCATTTTCGCCCGTTTTTTGCCAGCCGATTTATACATGTAAAGTCTATGACGCGAATTTGCACTTTTTGGGCACGCGCCACGCGCTCGCTATCGATCCGATCGAGCCGAGACCGCTCAAAGGCACGTTGTCCATCCTTGTTCTATAACTTGCGCAAATTTCAGCGCGGTAGGTGCAACGGTGTGATCTGTAACCCGCGCTACGTAGCACCATGTCGCGACCTTCGTAATAGACAGAAACTACGCCCTCCTCAAATAGTAATATAGATGGCAGTGACTATTCCAATAATTTTGAGATATAGCTTACATAGAAAAGATATGCAATATGCATATAACATGCAAGATACAAAAGGAAAATGAGAAAGAATTACTAAGGTCTAAGGAAAAGTGAATATAAAATAAATATGAAGGCATTGATGATAATCATGGTATTTGCTGCAAATGATTTAACGTTCAGGACATAAAAACATGTAGGTACAAAAGAACCTTGAAGAACCATTGAAAACCATTTGGACCTTATCTTGAATCTTCAGTTTAACCAAAAATGGGTCAGATAAAATCAATTTTCAAGTTTCAAACATAGTCATCAAGTCAAGTCAAGTCAAGTCATACCTAGTCAAGGGCAGGTCAAGGCATGGGAAGCATCACTCAGGAAAGAAGCATTCCATGCTGCAGTTTATGGAAAGTGCAAAATGATTGCATTCCTGGTTCATACCTTGAATACAAAAATAGATATTGTTTCATGTGTTGCCCAAAAACAAATATGAAAGTTACGTAGCTATACTGGTTCACTTAAAGTGGAAAGCAATGCAGTAACTTACTTTCATCCATCTTGATCTCGACAGCTTATTGCAGCCAAGCCTTTAAAATTAACTTTCCAAAAATTACATGATAAAAAATTATCACAAGAGTTTTCGAACATCCTAATTTTCCCAAACCATGCTTTTACAAATGTCATCCGTCCAAAATGTAAGCAAACATTTAACACACATTTAACACCTTTGCCTTAAGAAAAAGCGTGTCTAAGGAATAAATGTATCTAGCCACGTATCTTGGTAACGCATTCTTGCTTCAGTTAATCAGTTGCTACTTACTGATGGAAAATCAAAATAGGATCCAAACTCGGATCGAAGAGGAGGCGGTCGCAGTCGTGGCAGTACACCTGCACTCAAGGCTGCGCTAGTCAAATGACTGCCCGGCCAGGTAATGGATCCATTAAGAAATTACTAAAATATTGACATAATTATGTGCCTGCCTTGCGGCAGATCAAGATAAATGAATTATCGACAGACGAAATCACAACGAAATACGAATGCAAACTAAGGTGTCTGGCAAAATGATTGCTACTTCAGAATCGTCTTTCTTGCGTATGTTTTGTAACAATAATATTGAATGGACACCTCAACCAAATTAAAGATATCGTGGTTATCAATGGCTTACCCGATATCTCTATGATTGAATAATGCATTTCTGGAAGGTACTTAGTGTAAAACCTACCCTTAAAAAGATTTTCTGCACCTGCATCTCGCCTCTGTCATTCGCTTAGCCATTTCACCTCAAGCTTTTGTTTCTACCTTAGAAAACACCTGATTCCTAGACACACCGCCAAAGCACACCTAAATCCGTTTTCCTAGCACATCGGAGCTTGCATTGCACGAGCGGCCAGGACCCTCTTTAGCTATAGCGTGGCAACTAATTTGATCTGAATGCAACTGAATCAATTAAATCCCATTCAATTCGGCGTATGCAGTGTAACCTTTATGTCTAAAGAATAATGCATCCTGTGACCCACTGACGGTCACCACCACTCCATAATTGTAATTTCGCTGTTTGCTGCGATCGTTGGAATCATTTCTTCGCAAGCTAACCTCTACCAATGTTCCGCATGAGCCCCATATTTACAGCTTGCATTAACGCCCCACACCGTTTCTTATCGTTCTCATTTCGGCCAGCAGCTCAGTGGCAGCCAAATGCCAGTTACAGGGTTGCTTGAAGCAACCCTTTTTGGTGGCAATTTATATGCCACACTACTATGGATTAATATACTCGCGAGTTAATACCAAGTCCGTTACATAAAAAATAATAATTCCAGGCGAAACGAGCATTGGGGAAAATTCACCAGTATGAGAGGTTGCAAACGAATGATAAATTGGTTTAATAAGTACATGTATTCATCTACGAACTTCAGAAGTCTCATTAATCTGGAAATTAAGAATAAACATTACATGCGTAAAACCTGACTTGACACTATGCTTGAAAAAAACTGGAATGATCCATCTTTTTTAGAACTGGACAATGCTTGGCAAGTGGCAAACAATTCAGCATTGATGAGCCAAATCTGCTTATCGGATACGACTCACCCACCCAGCAGGATAGAGGCACTTTTACTCCGATCACGGAGAGGATGGGACTAGACATGGGTGAGGTTGGCTCCACAGCATTTTGTTTTCCCACGCCTCAGAAGCAGACGGCAGCAGCACCGAGCACGTCCCTGAACAGCAGGGCGAGTCGGCTCACTCCTTTTGGCCGGAGGGAGGGCGCGACGTGTCGGTCGGTTCGGCGGCGCTGCCACGGTCGGCCAGGTGGAAGGCGACTCCGGCGATGTCACACTGCGTGCTCGAGTGCACGGATACGATCCACTCGGCGCTCTCCGGCGGCGTGATCGAGAACCATCCGTGGCCGCCCGGGCCGCGCTGTGGGTCCGATGTGCTTCCGTACGCCTGCACGTACTCCTGCACCTTGTCCCAGTTCGCATCGGTCACGCCGGTCACGTGCATACGGGCGCTAGCAGTGTCCTCCGTGACCTGATGGGACGCCAGGCTCGGAGCAGAGGGCGCCGACTGAAAGTCAGCACCGCTCACAGACGAGGCGGCCGTAGAGGACTGACTGGCCGACTTCGGCCTCTTCCCAGCCTGGCTACCGTTTCGCCCCTCGGGCCTGGTCGTGGCGCTGTCCAGAGCGGCCGTCACCGGTTTCGCCCAGCCCGATGCCCGGGCCGCCCTGGACGAGGAGCGGTCCGGAGCGTCTGCGGCACCCTGCAGAGGAGGAAAGCTCTGCTCATCGAGAGGCGGCGGTCGGGGCCGCCAGACACGCCGGGGCTGCCATTCGTCCGACATATCGGACGAATTGGTCCGCTCCTCACAGATGTCTGGGTCGTCAGAGTCATTTCCTAGGTGTCCGAGTAGCCGTGAAGGCCGCCCTTGGGTGTCACCATCAGCTACCGCCGCCGCCGGCAGCAGGGCAGACTCTACGGCCACGACACCGCCGGGATCCAGGAAGTCGGCCAGATTCCAGCCGCCGCGCTGCCCGTCATCCAGATTTACCTGGCCGGTCAGTCGCGGCGGCGGCGTGGCGGCCGTCTCCGGCTCCAGCTCCGAGAAATCGTCGTCCTGAGAGTTGTGCCGCGGAAGGATGTACTGACTGTAGTTGGTCGGCGGCTCGTAAATCGGCAGGTCTCTCCGTACGCGATTTATCTGCTCCTGGATGGTCAGGTTGCTGACGCCGACGTTGGCGAGGTTCCCGGGAACCGGCAGAGGATCGTCGTGACAGCTGAGGCCAGAGGCGCGGCCGCGGCCGCGAGGTCGGCGGGCGGGCTCCGGCGGCGGCCCGTCCGGCGACTGGATCAGGTGACGAGGGATCGTCAACGGCTTAAACACCATTGGACTAACGCCTTCGCCGAGTCCCCAGCGGCATTGCAGAATGGGAATACTGGGCAGCTGGCGATGCACCGCTACCTCTTGGTCCTGGCTATCTCCCGGAGGCGGCGACATCCCAATCGAACGATGCTCTCTGAAAATAAAGAAAGTTTGTGTCATCAAACCCATGCTCCGTTCCCATACTCTATTTCGAAATTTCGAAATTCCCAAGCATTTCGAAATTTCGAAGCATTTCGAAATTCAGCATGATCATCCACATTTTTGAAGTTTTCTTTTCACGACGAACGCTAGCGTCTGGTCACGCTAGCGTCGATGGGCTGTTCAATATTCATGTTTTCATGTATGAATTTATCAATTATCATGCTTGAGTCACCCACATCCACCACAGACAGCACATTTTATCAGACCCAAAAATAAACGAAGAACAAACAAAATAATTTTACAAAGGTCGTGAAAGATTGTGATTTCTTGAGATTTTAAGTAACTGGCCTTGGTGAAAAAGTCAAATCATGCTTCTAAAAAAACGTTTATTTTTTACGTTTTTTTTTTTTTTACTTTGTTATACATGGTGTCACTCAGTGGTGTGAGGTCAACCCGATCAACCTGACTTAGTGGCTCAAGGAAGACGAGAAAACTCAAATTGAGTTGCCAAATCGAATGGTTTGCAGCATGAACTCCCTCGGACAGCTCCTGACCTGGAGACTCGGCCTTTGACCAGACCTTGACCTGAGGTCAACATACGCCTCTGTCATTCGGGAAAACTGGGCAGTGGGCATGATAACAGATATGTTCCCAAAGTCGTTGCTCTGCAGCCATTTCAGCGGACAATGAATATTATTTACCAACGACCGGACTCAAACTTTTTTTCTGACCTTAGTTAATCCGAGACCTTAACCCGCGCCCCGCTGGGGGGGGGGGGGCAGAATCTGCCCCCTCCCGTTTTTCGCCAATAACTTCTAAACGCGTTATGCCAGCGACGCCAAACTTTCAGTACCTTATCATACATCAATTTAACACGTTTCCTGAATATTTGAGCGAAATCCGTCGGGAAAAAAAATTGGAGAAAACGACGTTTAAGTGACGTCATGACCACCATTTTTCGCCGAAAAAAAAAAACAGCAAAATTTCAAACGCCGCCAACATCTTCATTTTTAAAGGAATCAAGACGTAACAAAAAGGCTATACGTGATTCTACTTTGTCTATCAAATGGGTATCTCGTTTTTTTATAGAAAATTTTGGATTTTGGCCCAAATTTTTCTTCTTAAAAAACTGACTTTTTTGGGAAAATAATTATAAACCCAAAAATTTTAGTTTATAAAAAAACGGAATATATGTCAGAGAAGCGCTCTATGTGCACCTACATACCAAATTTTAGAAGAATCTTTTCAAAAATGGGGAGTTATTCAAAATCCTATGACGTCACGACCCACAATTTTTTTTTAAAAATGTTTTTTTTTAAGTTATAGACCTCTTACGGAAACCAAAACAGCACCATTCGATTCGCCGTGAAAAACTGCATCAGATAGACACCTTTTTAGGTCTTAACAGCCAACTTCAAAATTTGACCTCACTTGACCTAACCTTAACCTGACTTCGACCTGAATTCATCCAGATGTGGTCCACATCACTTATTGAGTGTGCGTATTGAGTTCTATGAATAAAATGACCCATAGGTAAAACATGTGTCGCACCTGCCCTTTTCCATATTTAATTTTTGTTGACCTGACCTGACCTTGACCTTTGCATGATATTGTATGCAACGAATAATGTCTTGGTAGCCTAAGAAGTCAATAGCCTCTTAGTGTCCAAAGTTTGAATCATATGCTGATATTTTTTTGTGCAAAATCAAAAATACCGGCATGCTACCGGTAAGACATGCCAGATACCACGAAAAAACCTGCGGCAGTGAAAAATTACCGGCGTGCCGGTAGTGCGCTAGGGAAATTTTGCAACTCTACTAAGAACACGTTTTGGGCGATCAGTCTCAGGCCATTCTTCGGCAACTACGGTGCATGGCCGATACTGTAGAAACTTGCATTCTGTACCCTTGACCTGACCTTGACCTGACCTCTGACCTACTTAAGCAAAAAAAAAAAAACGCTTTTGAGTTCCGCCTTGTTGAGAGCTTTCGATTGCCGTTTTCCTCGTCTTTCTATGACCATCGGTTCGGAAGTTAGACAAGGGGGCAGAATCTGCCCCCCCCCCCAAGCAGGGCGCGTATGGCTGAATAGCCCAGCGGGGCGCGGGTTAAATAAAGTAGCTACCGTTCCATACGCCTCTAAAAGGTGCATACACCCAACTTTTCCGCGAAGCTCAGTTAGGGACGGACGCAACGACCAAGTGAAAATGTGCCCGCCCCATCCTCGGTCAGGCCATCTGTTGATAACCGATTAGTCCGGCGAGGGCTCATTCACGAAGAATCCTCCACAGTTTCGTGAAACGCTTGCAACAAAAAAAAAACACCTTATGCTGGTGCATGGTGAGTGGTGACAGCTGGTCATATGGTTCATTGAGTACAGCAGAGGGACACCACATATCATGAGGTAAACATAAATACCCGAGTACCTACGCATTAACCCGCGCCGTGCTGGTGGCCTGAGTTTTCCGTGTCGTGCTGGGCGGGGGGGGGGGGGTTCCCCCTCCCGTCTAGCTCGGCTCCTGGGCCACCTAGCGACACGCGGTAAGCGGCAATCGAAAGAGCGTCAAAAATAATAGCGGAAATACCTCAGTCATTTTTAAGGTCACGTCAAAGGTTAGGTTACCAGAAGTCTTCAAAGGTCAATTTTGTCTATTTCAACAATCGAAACGCCCGACGGCTAACTCGGGAACCAATAGAGCTATAGCGCTGCGGAAAAGTGCATTCGATAGCTCTTTCAACACCATTTCGCCCACATGTCCTCAGATTTGACCTCAGGTCAACGGTTTAACCTCCGGAGGGCAAAAACTAAAAGTAATCGTTTTCACGAAAAAAATGTTTTTTTAATAACTTTTGATTCAAGAGAGCCATGACATTACTTTTGCCAGCATCATGTTCCTCTCGTCGAGACGCGTCGAATGAACTTAAAGTTGACCTTAAAAGGTCATTTTGAAAATTTCACCTCAGGTCAAGGTTATGACCTGACCGGAAGGGGTCAGCTTGCATATCAGTCGATCCGTATCATCACGCTGAACACATCTAAAGTGTTTTTCACCACTAATTTCATCGATAAAAAATATTCACCGGTTTTCAAGATATTAGACTTTTACTTTTCTTTACTTTTTGGGATCTCCGCTGTTCCTAGCAACTTTATTTGAAAGTGCGGCATTTGTTGCGCGCAAAGCAGCATATACCACCGCGTGCTACAAAACGTTTTAGTCAAACATTTAACGGACGTTCGAAAGCCTGATGACGTCACCAGATTCCCGTAATGGTTAAGAGATAGGGACCACGCTGGTCCCACCCTGCAAGTAAAGGGAAGAAATTTCTTGAACACCATAAAGCTGCGGGGGTTGCGACCAGGATAAATGGTGGTTTCTGAGCCTGGCCGCAAACTTGGCTATCTCGACTCAAAACTAATGTTAAGGTGGGAGGGTCCCTTTAACGTGGCCCCTAACGGGGCGTGAAAACGCCCACCCCCCAGCACGGCGCGAGTTTAATATTCTCCCGGTGGCCCGGCTAAGCCCGGACTAGACGAGCGGGTTTGTTAGGCCAGGTTGTTAGGCCTATCAGTACCATGCCAACAGCACGAGTACCTCAGTTCGTGCAAGTTTTCTTTTAAAAAAGCACAACTACCTTCTATACATTGTAGATCCGTTCACATCAAGGTACTTGTTTATTGGAGCAAAACAGAGGGAACACGCATACGATAAACTGTGGGTAATGTGTACATATTAATCATTTTCCACTTTATGAAGTGCATGTGCAATACGCATGTGCGATGTGGATGACGCGGATGACGAGAAACTGAAAAAGCGATTGGGTGACTAGAGTATTCCACGACTTTGTCATTCGTTCAAAGTGAGATCTACCACTTTGAGAAACTCCTCTTCTGAGATCTGCAGCAGTTTCGCACCTTCCAAGTGAAGCTTCTGTCGTTTGAGCACATCGATCAGCTTCATCTGCTTTTTGAATCCAGCAATTAGCTCTTGCCGCTGCTTGTCGAGCTGCTTGTTGGAGCTTTCCAAGGAGGCCACCTTTTCTTTCATCGCCTCAGCTGAGTCCCTAGCTCGCCTCTTCTCGGCTTCGAGGGCAAGCTTAAGTTTCTCAACGTCCTCGTTCGCTCTCTTTAGCTTTATTTCTGTCTGGGAGTTTGATTTGCATGCTGCCTGTGCTTCTTTCACGTTGTTTTCTGCATCTCTTTTCCACGAGACGCACTCACTTCTGAACTTCTGCACTTCATTGTTAGCATCATCCAGGGCCTTCTTCAATCTGCTGATCTCTGCAGCCTGTTTTTGCGACCCTGAGATGACACTTTGACCTTCTCTCTCAGAGACTTTCAACTTATCGGAAAGAACGTTATTCTGCTTCAGTAATTTGTCATACTGCACCTTGAGACGAGTGAGCTCGGCTTTTGTCACTCGTAGCTTTGCTTGATACAGCCGCGCCTGCGCTGCGCTACTCAGATTCTTTGATGCGATCGACGACGCGCTCTGGCTATTTGGCTCATCGTTGGCTTCAAGACAGTCGAATGCCTCGACGAGGCTGTCGTCTGTGTCTGAGCCATGGTCAGGTACGAGGGCATCCGTCTTTGGCTGCAGCGTAACCTGGTATGGCTCGCCGAGTTTACAAGGCAGAACTGGGTCCGGCTCGTCATCGGCAGTCATTTTCGCTGTCCCTTGTCTCACGTGTTTAACCGCAGGTAGCTCTAATGAATCTGACACATCGGTCTGATCTTTGAGCGCTTTTTCCGCTTGTGCGATTAAGGATGCTGCCTTTGACTTGAGTGATTCATTCAGTTTTCTGTAATACTCCTCCTTGTCTCTCAATGCCGCGTCATCAGATTCGTCCATGGCGAATGTCTTATTGTCTTGCTGTCGCCAATGAGCCACCTGTCAAAAGAAGGCAGGCCCAGCGTCCATTTACGTAGCAATGCTCGTGACACTGTGGCTGGTTCCCTCCTCCAGCCCGATTGCAGGCAAGACCGAA